AGATTTTGCCTGCAGAATCCTTCACTATTGCAACTCGAGGCTTAGATTTGCTGCTTAGAGCTTTCAAGCTTGAGAAATGCTGAACGTGTTCTTCCCTTGTTTTTCTCTAACTCTGGCTCTTTGCACTTTTCATTCTAGTACTTTCCTTTGTCTTCTCAAGCTACCATTTAAAAATCTCCTGTTCTGTTCCCTTACTCTCCAGAGTACTGAAGAGTAAGGATATCACTTTAGATAATAAGGTGCACCTGATCCAAGCCATGGTCTTTTCAGTGACTTCCTATGCATCTGAAAGTTAGACAGTGAATGAGAAGGACTGAAAAAGAACCAATGCCTTTGAATTCTAGTGTTGGCAGAGAATACAGAATATTGATGAACTGCTAAGAGAACACATTCTTATCCAGAAGGACAGGGAGCCAGGCGTGTTCCTTTCAGGCAAGTATGGTGAAGCTTCATCTCACTGAGAATGTGTTCAAGAGGGACCACTCCTTGAAAAAAGACATCATGCGAGAAAAGGTGGAGGGCTAGAGAAAGAGGAAGGCCTTCAGCAAGACAGATTGACATAGTGGCTGACAGTGGGCTCAAGCACGTTGGAGATCATGGGGCTGGCGCAGGCAGGGTAGGGCAGGGTTCTGCTCTGTTGTGCACAGAGTCATTTGTAGTTGACTCAATGGCACATAACAACAACAGTAATCTCCCCCGAACCCTCCGACTTAAGAAACTTGTCAGCAAATCCTCGGGATGCGCAAGCGGAGCACAGCTGACCCCTTGAACCGAGTGGGGACTGTCCCTCTGCATCGCAGGAGGAGCTGTAGCACCACCTCTGGCTTCGGCTCACCCCGTCACTCACATCCATCCACTGGGCTCTAACTCAGAGATACACTCCGGAGGGTTTCCGAAGCTGTAAATCGCAGGTGCTGGAGAGGTGCTGCCTTTGCATTGACCTCGCAACTCGCTGCAGCGTTCACCGTGAGCCCTCCCAGCCCATCCCGGTGTTGTCGTTGTTAAATGCCTCTGACTCCTAGTGACCCTGTGAACAGATTGAAGCGTCGCTCTATCCTGAACCTTCCTAACAGTCTCCGCCCTGCTCAAGCCCATCGCTGCAGTTACTCTGTCAGTCCACCTCATTGAGGGTCTTCCTCTCTTTCACTGACCTTCCACCTTGATGGCCCTCCTTTAACAACATGAATAGCCTCTTCTACCAACACACCCAAAGTGTGTGAGACAAACTTCACTATCCTCGCCTCTAAAGGGCAGCCTGGTCACACTCTCTTAAGACATATCTGTTTGTTCTCAGGGAGCTCTGGCTTAGTGGCAAGAAGCTGAACTGCAATCCCAGAGGTACGCGGTTCGAATCCACCAGATGCTTTGCTGGAGAAGGAGGGGCAATCTCCTCCTTTACCAGTCAGATACACACACACACACACATACAATTTTTTAAAAAAAAGACATATCTGTTTGTTCTTTAGGCAGTTCATGGGCTAATCAGTACTCTTCTCCGATACCACACCTCAAAGGCAGCAATTCTTTCATCCTACTCGTTGTTGTGATGGTGGTGGTGGTGTACTGTTAAGTCAGAACCAACCCTTAGCTGACCTGCCAGTGGGTTTTCAGAAGCATTTAAACACACAAGAGGAGATTGTCTGTCTTTCTCCTCTTGAACAGGTGGTGGATTCGAACCACATACCACTGTGTTGGCAGCACAATTCCTTATCACTAAGCCATTCCTCCAGTTGTGGTTAAAAAAAAAAGTCTCCAGGCATTGCTGAGTGAATTCTGGGAGCACAATCATTTGTACGTGAAAACTGCTGATGTATTCTCATCTTACAAATAAGGGCACTGATGCAGGGAGACTTTTGATGCCCAGGGCCACCTAGCTAGTAAATAGTAGAGCTGGGATTCCAACCCCAGGAGTTCAAGACTAGGACTCACACTCTTGACTGTGATGCAGGAGTTTCCGGAATGTGCCGTCCACAAGGCTTTAGTCCAGTCATCACATACGTGCGTGCACATATACAAATGGGTGTTTAGTGTATACATCTCCAGCATGCAAAATCGGCAGGGCTGCCACTCGCTTTTCAGTTAGCAGTTCACACTTCTCACCTGTTACACTCCATCAGAAGCTATTAAACAAACAAAAAACTGCTAACTGAAAAGCTGGCAGTTTGAATCCACCCGCTGCTGCATGGTAGGAAGATCAGGCAGTCTCCTCCCATGAAGATTTACAGCCCAGAAAGCTGATGGAGGATTGCTGTGAGTTGGAATCACCTTGAGGGCAGGCCTGCTGGAGTAGGTCACATTTGAGTCAAAACTGAAACCTGAAACCCACAGCGTCCCTTTTCAGCAGGAAGTAGCTAAGAGAATACGCTGTCCCCTTTTCCTTATGAATCTGGGTGAAGTCTCTCTCTCAAGGAGGGGTGACAGGGAATGGCAAAGGACACACTGACAAAGGAGATTAATCAGAACTGGCTTTGACAAGCACTGTGGCAATTGGACAATTAAAACAGACTTTCAAGGGGGGAAAAAAAGAACGAACTGGGGAGGAGAGTAGAGAAAATAGTGCAACAATGAATGAATGAAAACTGCAAATCTCTGTAAATGGTCATGAAAATGAATAAAATTTAATAAAGAAAAAAAAACCAAAACTAAAACAAAGATGGCAGAAGAAGGCTGAGTTAGGAAGATACTCCATCATGTAACGTCCCTTGCCCGTCTTCCGAGTGGGCCTGTGAGCCCTGAGGCCCTCCCCGGGGCATCTTCAATGCCCAGCAAAGTGCCTCGCGCATCATAGATAGGAGTCCTGGCCCTTGACTTGCAGCTCTGTGAATCTGAGCAACAGGCAACACTTTGGAAGCATCTGCTGGGCAATGTGTCCTGGGCTGGGTGCTGAGGGTACCGAGAAAAGTCAGAACTGTCCTCAGAAAGCTCCAGGCGGAGGTGAGCACATTCCCAAATCCGGCTAATTAAAAGTCAGCCTGTAATGGCATGTGAGTGATGAGAGAGTGAGGCTGGAGTGGCATGACCACGTTGCTCAGGGAAAGCAGGAAGGGTTGAGTTTTGAAAGATGGATAGGAGTTGGCCTGACAGAGCAGGAGGGACAGCAATAGGACGATGCCTTACGCAGTTAGGAACTGACCACTTTGACCACTTGTGTGTCTCTAGAAGAATGTAAACTTTGGCAGCTGATGTCAGGAGAGGACAGGGAGAAGGGTGGGAGTCAAAACACAGAGGGGCTTGACAACCGTGTGTTCCAGCTGTGGGCGCATTGAAGTGAGTGGAAACCTCACCCGTGTAACAGAGGCATTTACTCAGAGATTGCAACAGCAGAGAGTTTCAGGACGAGGGCAGGAAACAAAGACCAGCGGGGTCACTCAGAGGCTGGGTGGTCCTCACTGGCTACCCAGGTGTTCTGGGCTTCAGTATACCCCCAGTGATGAGAAAAACCAGGTGCCATGGAGATGACAGAGTGATGGCAGCTCTTCGTGTGTCAGAGACCGGCGCTCCATAGGGCTTTCAGTGGCTGGGTTTGGGGTCAAGACTTCCTTCCGTGTACCTCTGGGTCGACCTCCGAACTTCCGATTGACCGAGGAATGTGTTAACTGTTTGCATTAAGAAGGGACTCAAAGACATACTGAGGGGGTTTGGTTTTATACTGTGGAGCCCTAGAGAGTTATTCAAACCACAGGAGAGTGACGTGATTAGATATGTCATTTGGAGAAAGACCCCCAGAGCAACTCATGGCAAGTGCTTAGATCCTGCAGAGTCTGCAGACTGACCTAGATTCCGTTCATTTCCACAAGCTTCCACGGAGCCCTTTTGGGAGCCAAGCCTTCTCATTGTTTAGGAGACTGAAAAATAGATGAACGATGCTCCTTAGCCAAGTTCATGGTCCCCGTCAAGACTTAGTGATGTAGGTCTAGGATGTTTATGCCTATCTAGAAATTAACTGAAAAATCTTGACCTGTTTTTTTTTCTAGCAAGAGTCATCTGGGGGGAAGGGATTGTAAAACAAAGAAAGAATTTTTCTTTTACTTTTCAAAGAGAAGAGCAAACTGGGCAGGAGGGTTGGGCAAGGAGAAGAGTACAACAATGAATGAACAGAAATCCAAAATCTCTAACTTTTCATTAAAATTAATAAGAATAAAAAAAGATATAAAAATTTTTTTTTAAAAAAAAGAGTGATCTGGACACACAATCTTTAAGAATGTGTACTCTGAGGTCAGAGAAACCTGAGTTAGAATCCTAACACTGCCTCTTACTATCTTTAGAAACGTAGGTTTCCTCATCTGTTGAATGGAGATAATAATCCTTTGATGAGGTTCAGTAAAGTGATGCTTAGAAAGTGCTAAGCACAGTGCCTGGCACACAGAGAACTTTCAATAAATGGCTGTGTGTTGGATCACTAACCAAAAGGTTGGCAGTTCAAATCCACCAGGGAGAAAGAGAGGCAGTCTCCTCCTGTAAAGAGTTACAGCCTTGGGAAGTCAGTGGAGGGTCGCGGTGAGTCAGAATTGACAGTGGATTGGGTTTGGTTTAATGTTCTTTTGATTAGTATCATCATTATCAAAGTAGACCCCAACCCAAAATAATTAGAACTACTGGTCAAGATTAAGAGTTGGCAAACTGGAGTCTAGCCCACTGCCTGTTTTTATCAATAAAGTTTTATTGGAGCACAGTTCTGCCCATTTGTTCACCTAAGGCTTCATTCATGCTACAGAGCAGAGTGGAGCAAAGGAAACCGCGTGGCCGTTTTTAAGAAACGTTTACAGACTCTTGGTCTAGATGATTAGCTTGAAATCATTTCCATTTTCAGGGCTTCTGCTTTCACATCTGCTCAGTAAATGCAGTTGAATAAATTATCTCTGTAGCATGTTCAATCAGCAGCTGACTCGTGAGGTGCAGAAAAGCCCTGGGAAGTGAAGACGTGTCGTACAGACTCAGGGTATTGTGACGCACGTCCCTTGGGTGCTTGCTGACCACATCCCACTCTTTTCTCCCCACAGATCCTGGCCATCATTTCCATCATGTTCATCGTCCTCTCCACCATCGCCCTGTCACTCAACACGCTCCCTGAGCTGCAGAGCCTGGATGAGTTCGGCCAGACCACAGACAACCCCCAGCTGGCCCACGTGGAGGCCGTGTGCATAGCCTGGTTCACCATGGAGTACCTGCTGCGGTTCCTTTCTTCACCCAAGAAGTGGAAGTTCTTCAAGGGCCCGCTCAACGCCATCGACTTGTTGGCCATCCTGCCGTACTACGTCACCATCTTCCTCACGGAATCCAACAAGAGCGTGCTGCAGTTCCAGAACGTCCGCCGCGTGGTCCAGATCTTCCGCATCATGCGCATTCTGCGCATCTTAAAGCTGGCCCGGCACTCCACGGGCCTGCAGTCCCTGGGCTTCACCCTGCGCAGGAGCTACAACGAGCTGGGCCTGCTCATCCTCTTCCTTGCCATGGGCATCATGATCTTCTCCAGCCTGGTCTTTTTCGCTGAGAAGGATGAGGATGACACCAAATTCAAAAGCATCCCGGCCTCTTTCTGGTGGGCCACCATCACCATGACAACTGTTGGGTATGGAGACATCTACCCCAAGACGCTCCTGGGGAAGATTGTAGGGGGGCTCTGTTGCATTGCGGGGGTCTTGGTGATTGCTCTCCCTATTCCCATCATTGTCAATAACTTCTCTGAGTTTTACAAGGAGCAGAAGAGGCAGGAGAAAGCAATCAAGCGGAGGGAAGCCCTGGAGAGAGCCAAGAGGAATGGCAGCATCGTGTCCATGAACATGAAGGATGCTTTTGCCCGGAGCATCGAGATGATGGACATCGTGGTTGAGAAAAATGGGGAGAATCTGGGTAAGAAGGACAAGGTGCAAGACAACCACTTGTCTCCCAACAAATGGAAATGGACAAAGAGGACCCTGTCTGAAACCAGCTCCAGTAAATCTTTTGAAACCAAGGAGCAAGGATCCCCCGAGAAAGCCAGATCCTCCTCGAGTCCTCAGCATCTCAATGTCCAGCAGTTGGAAGACATGTATAATAAGATGGCCAAAACCCAGTCTCAGCCCATCCTCAATACCAAGGAGTCGGCAACGCAGAGCAAACCAAAGGAAGAGCTTGAAATGGAGAGTATTCCCAGCCCCGTCGCCCCTCTGCCCCCACGTACAGAAGGGGTCATCGACATGCGGAGTATGTCAAGCATCGATAGCTTCATTAGCTGTGCCACGGACTTCCCTGAAGCCACTAGGTTCTCCCACAGCCCGTTGGCATCACTCCCAGGCAAGCCTGGTGGCAGCGCTGCCCCCGAGGTGGGCTGGCGGGGAGCCCTGGGTGCCACTGGAGGTAGGTTGGTGGAAGCCAACCCAACCGCAGATGCCAGCCATCGCTCCGGTTTCTTCATTGAGAGCCCCAAGAGTTCCATGAAGACCAACAACCCCTTGAAGCTGCGAGCGCTCAAAGTCAACTTCATGGAGGGCGGCGAGCCCAGCCCACTTCTCCCTGTTCTGGGGATGTACCATGACCCTCTTAGGAACCGGGGTGGTGCCGCGGCTGCTGTCGCTGGACTAGAGTGTGCCACCCTTTTGGAGAGGCCTGTGCTGAGCCCAGAGTCCTCCATCTACACCACGGCGAGTGCTAGAACACCTCCCCGGTCCCCTGAGAAACACACAGCAATATCATTCAACTTTGAGGCGGGCATCCACCAGTACATCGATGCAGACACAGATGATGAGGGCCAGCTGCTCTACAGTGTGGATTCCAGCCCCCCCAAGAGCCTCCAGGGGAGCACCAGTCCCAAGTTCAGTGTCGGGGCAAGGTCAGAGAAGAACCACTTTGAAAGCTCCCCTTTACTCACCTCCCCTAAGTTCTTAAGGCAGAACTGTATTTACTCCACCGAAGCATTGACTGGAAAAGGCCCCAGTGGTCAGGACAAGTGCAAACTCGAGAACCACATCTCCCCCGATGTCCGTGTGTTACCGGGAGGAGGGGCCCACGGAAGCACACGGGATCCGAGCATCTGAACCAGCCCACAATGGAGGAGAGACTTGTGGGTGAGGTCCCAAGAGGAATGCTCTTCAGCTTACCTGCCACAGAGCTTTTCGCATGAACTCTGAAACGGACAGGCCCTGCGAAGCCCCAGAGAAGAGATGTTCTAAAGAAGGCGCTCCCTAAGACCTGGGCAGCCATGACAGGTCCATCAGGATGGATGAAGTTGGCCAAGCCATAGCATATGGCACCTTCTTGTAACAATTCTACTGCCCTTTTTTTGGGGAGATAAGAGCAGAACTTACAGCAACTGCTATCACAGTCCTAGTGACCACTGAAGCCACCGACTCTTTGTCCTTCTTCCTGACTCCCCATCACAGCCTTTAAGGGCGGCGTCTCCATCCCTCCTGGGTTCCGCTGGAGAAGGATGCTGGGAAACGTGGCTGGAGTCAGAAGAGTGGGTTGACCAGCTTGGTACTACTGGACGCTGCACAGCCAGCTCTTTGAACGCCTGCCTATCTGTCACCTCCTGGATAGATCCCACAGATAGAAGGCTACAAGGAAATGCTCGTATCATGGGAAGATCTCTGCGCCATAAGCCACGATCCCAGCACAAAACCCTTTCTCAAATGTCTCATTGACTTCCGTAGTCTGTAGGACCTGAGGTTTTCTTTTGTGATACCACCAGGGTGAGTTGCACCACTTGTACTCAATTCTAATTGCCCTTCGGCAACCCGGGAGGGTTGGGAAGACTGGCCCTGTGCCGACAGTGTGAAACACTGACCAGTGCTTGAGAACTGAAGGAGAAAAACACTTTCTGTACATCGCTAGTCTAGACTCAAAAGATATGCAAGTGTCAAATATGCAAAAGAAATAGCTTTTTTTTTTCAAAGAGACTGTCTGTTTCTGAAGAACAGAATAAAAATCTGATTTCCACCCCCCCCCCATTCCAAAGATGAAAGGGAAAATAACAAAACTCCCCAATCAGAATGCCCATTTCAGACTTTGAAATCTTTCCTGCTGCCACAGGGAAACACCCACTATATAAGAAATTCTTTTCTATTTCCTGTGGTAGTCAAGCCTAAAAAGAAAAAGTTAAAATAAAAAGCACTTTATGTTTTTCAAAAATAATTTCTACCAGGGACCGTGTCAACATCTTGCACTTTAAGACAAGCACTACTTTCCCGTGGGCCACTTGTTGGGTTGTTGCTACGTGCCTGTTTCCGGCCACAGTGGGTGACATTGTGCTGTGGTATTGATGTCTGCCATGTTGAAGTGCGTGGGCTCCTACCTGGCCCCTCTCTGAAGCAGCCCCTTACCCTTGGGTCCGGAAGGGTTCATGGCCATTGGGTGAGAACTCCCTTATCATCACATGTACAGGAGATGTGAACATCTCAGAAGGACGCAGTAGATGGCTGGGCATTGGCTGTCTCACGCTGTTCTCTCTTTTGTCCACCAGCCATTGATGTGTTTTCAGTGTCACTGTCTGTACAGGAAGCTCTGCTGTCGTTTCTGCAGCCATCAATGCAGCCAGTACAGACAAAAGCAATAAGTATCTGTGTGCATCCTGAGTGGTTCCGATGTGTTTCTTAGTGTTGGTCTTCCTGTCCTAGTAAATTGACCTGGCATTGACCCGCTGATGCTAATCAACGGCACGGTGTTGCTGGCCATTCCTCAGTACAATGACATTGTGTTGAGCCACCAGTTGGTACAATGTCATGGTGTTGGTTGGCTCATCTGTCAGTAAAGATGACATGTTATTGGTCTGCCTGTCTCTAGCATGATGCAGTGATGTTGTTCTTTTAATACAGTGTTGATGGGTGATGTCCCAAGTACAATACCAAGTGCAGATCTGCCTTTCCTGAATATGGTGGCAGGTACATATCTGTCCGATGGATATTGGCTCCTTTGTCCTTAATATACTGTGTGCTTGATCTGCATATTGGTACAATGGCATGATCCACCTGTTGGTACACAAATATCACTGTGCTGTTCTACCTACCCTCAGTACCATGGCACAAGGTCGGTCCACCTGTCACAAGTACAATGACATGCGGTCTTTCCATCACCCTTCAAAGCGCGTCTTCTCTGCTGTTCACAGACCTGGCTGACACAGCTTCTCAGCATTCCTGGGGTCCGCCAACCCCTCTAAGAGGCCACACGTCCTGTTTGTCTGTGTTTGCAGAGGATAATGAGTGCTCAGCTTTTCCAAGATGTCTTCCAAGGACTCTCGCCGCAAATGCAAAGGGACTTGAGGGGCAGGGAGAGGATGAGGTTGTCCTGCACTAGTTGGCACATGAGAGAGGAGGTGACACTTCCTGGGTGCTGTGCTGAGCACACGGGGGCTAGGGACCCATTGGGGAACGGCCATACTGGCTGGCTTTCACGTCTCCCTCTGTCTGCGTCACCATTTCTGTCCGCCATCAGCACAAATGTGAAAAATTCAGGGAAAACAAACAAAAGCTTTTTGATAAAAGTAAATAGTTGTGATTTCCAATTCAGATATTTTTAGAGCTGATGCTGTCTGTATAAAAAAAATTCATAATTAATACAAATAGTAATATAGTCTATTTTACATATCAGGAAAGTGAACATGTTTAAATATAGCCATATATAGCGAGAAGGAACCTTCTACCCCTTCTTCCAATCAAGGCATTTCATACGTTGGTTGAAGCAGTTGAGAAGTGTACAGATTGGAAATGGTTTCTTTCTGTCTTGTCTTTTCTTTCTAACAAATAACCAACTGGTGCAACTCTCCTTGTAACCAAAGGTCCTTTTCTGCCTTGTGTGGTCACGTAGGACCCGACCCTTCCTCCCTCATGTACTCTGTCTGACCTTAACGTAGCATTTTAGTGAGTCACTTTTGAAGGACGAATTCAGAAGTATCATTGAGAACCTACCTTTTCCGGCTTATTAGCCAGAGTCCTATAGAGTTCTTATAGAAACAGAATAACTGAAATTCAGCATATACTATGCTTAGGAAGCATTTTGATTTTGTTCTTGTTTCTTTTTTTTTTCCTCTTCTTTTTATTTGTGTGTATGTGTTGTGGGAGTATAGCTTTTACCCTCTGCCTGATTCAAAATAGAGTGTTTTAAGTCTTCTCAGCCCTTACCCTCACCTGCCAAAAAGGAACCCAGTTTAGTTGTTTGTTTTTTAATCTGCATACCCCCTCACCTAACCTGTGCATATGCACATATGTGTACACGCACTGGGGAATCTACCCAAAGACCTCCAAGGAGAAGCTTAGCTCGACAACCAAGACGGGTCTTGACAGAGAAGAGGAAAGTCATGGATTTGAGACAAATACTTCACTTGATGGTCCATTTCCCACCCATGCCTGAACCAACGAACACAGAAAAAAAAATGTCAACCCAAAGAAATTAAAGTAGGGTCTGGAGGTGGACAGACGCCTGGTCCCTTCGGTGAATTCAATGAAACTCATCAAGAACCTAGTTATCTTGAGTTCCAAATCCCACCATTACCAGAAAGGGCTAGGGGCCAGGGAGCTGTGTGTCCAAACCCCATGGCCGAGTCTGTGACCAGCAGAGAGAGGTGGACACACTTTCCAAGAGACCGTTGACTCACCCTGTATCGTTGGGTCAAAGAGAACAGGACTCTGGTGCAGTAGATTTCTCAGTGCCTTCTTTAGGAAATTTATCTTAAGCACACTTCATGGGAAAAGAAACAGAGATAAAAGAGGCAAGAACATTTGTTCCTGGGGACCCCTTTCTCCAAAGGATTGGGGGATCGAGAAAGAAGAAGATGAGAAAGGGAAACAGTAAGATCCTGCGAGGCCACTTCTTTTTTCAACCCACCCAGATTGCCCCTGAGAATTGCTGGCGACACAAACTTTTTCAAACTGACTCCCAACTTCTCCACTGTGTCTTGGTAACCGTAGCCTCGTCTCTGCCCTGTCTCCTGCTGAGAACCACGTTTTCTAAGGAGAACACTACAGTATTCTCTTCTGTAAAACTGTAATGTATTGTTGATATTTGTAACTATTGTATATTTCTGTCTTGCTCCAGTGGTGGCTGGAGTGTCTAGGTCATGAACAAGGGGAAAGTTAAAAAATTCATTCCCAACAAGGATCACTAAAGGCCGGTCTCTAACTCTTAGCTCTCTCCTTTCTTTCTCTGCCAACAAGTCTCAAGTCACATAATCCCCGAAGTAAAAGTAACGTTGGATCAACGGAGAGTGGCAGAGGCACGCTGGGACAAGCCTCTCTGGGGTGGGACTCCTTCCCTGTGGCTGCAGAATTGGCAGGAGGAGAAAGGGGACATGGGGACAATGGACAACCGCCCGCCTGAGCTGACATTTCCTCACCCACCTGCTTCCATGACAACACCCGAATGCGTTCATGTCACTCGATCAGGGCGACCCTTAACCAGCCCTGGCTGCACCCAGAAATAAGAGTTACCTCTGCATTTTCTGTTGCCATTTTTTCTGGCTCTAGAAGTACGATGCGCAACTCCACCAGAGGATGTCCCCGCATCTCAGAGTAGTCTATTTTTCTGTTCAGATAAATATATATATAATATGTATTTTTAGCAAATTTATAATAGGGCAATGGAGTCTAATTTCTTCTTTTGTAATACAGAACATTATCTTAGGAGTTTTATTGTTGGTCATTACTGTAGCTACTACTTTGGAGTCTTCATTTCCTTCCATCACCCTTTGGGGCTGTTCTGTTTGGGTTGTGTTTTGGTTTGGTTTTGTTTTTTCCCTCTTACTTTGCTTTTGATTCTGATTTTCTGGGGGTGGGGTAAGACTTGGTGGGAGGGGGCTGACTTCCTCGTGCAGACTTTAGCCGACACCAGGCTTAAAGTCCGTCTGATGCTATGACTGCCTCGGTGGGTCTGTGCATTTATGTTATTCTTCAGAATCCCAGGCTCACGTGTGGGAGTGGGGCCAGGCAGACAGGGCCTACAGTCACGGCGGATATGGGCTGATTTCACCCACACTCTGTCCTCCTTGGGGGGATCTGAAAGGATTAAGTCTTTGGACCCCGCCCCAGAGATTTCACAGCCGAGAAAT